ATATATTTTTTATTAGATTTTTACGAAACAGAAATTCAAGTGATGCATTTGCAGATTGAAAAACATTGAGAGTTCTTCTGCATTTTTCAGTACCTGACCCAGTTGTTGCAGACAAAATTGACAGATTTTTAGCTTCTTTAATTTTCTAGTCCCTTGTCTGTAAATAGACGTTTGAACACCAACGTCATGGTACATCGACAGAGGCTTTGTGAAAGTTGGAAGCATGCACCAAACTATTCTAGGTCGCTTTTCTCCAGGGATTGCTTTTGAAAACATGACATGCTTTAAATGTATTTCTAACAAATACATTTAAAGCAATGGTACTGTGCAGAAGCAGAGGGATAGACAGACTGAAGCTTTCTCTTAAAGACCATTTGAAAGTCCAGCAATATAGACAGACCTTCAATTAAAGAAATAAACACTGTCTGTAAAAGCATCAAAACCATGTCCAAACAATCTGTAATGACATCACTAATTTCCATAAACCACTCCATGTATCTATTATTCAAAGCACACCTTGTGATCACAGCAGTGATGCTTTGTTGTGCAATTTGCTTACCTTTGGACACCACATATCCCACTCTTTGTGTCTTCTCCTCTCTGTCTGTCTGTGGTGTGCTGTTATTATGTTGGTAACAATTTTCTTTAACATATTAAAACATGGTTTTGAAGATGCATCCTCTTATAACCAGGCAATTTTTAATACTATGGGGGTGAATTGTTATTTTAAGGTGCTACTGATTCAACAAAGACTCACACGCTGCTTTAATTCTCGAGGACCCAAGTCTCATGTCATCCTATTACTGATATTGCAAGATGATATATTTTTTATCATGCAGGTAGTCATACTAGCAGTATTATTGATGGTTTGATTAACCACAGCACTACCGTCTGAAGTTTTTGCAACCAAAGCCAACTAAGAACAGAAGATCTGATACCAAATATCAACTTCAATTGAGGAGTTGAGAACTAACTTAATCTGTAACTGTATGGAGATTATGACATGTTGTCGGCCTCTCCGCACACCTTCCAAATATTCACCGTTAAAACGTTAAATGTCCAGTGACATGATGGTTTCAGTGGTGTAGGTTCTCAATCACCATTAATTATGTTTCCACCCAATTGAGCAAACTTTTACAACCTCCCAAACTAATGAGGTGTTTCCATCTACTAGAATTAATGATAAATTGTCTTTTTTCTCTTTCTACCAAAAACTGGATGACAGAAGTCTTCAGTCTGGAGTTTTGGTCTCAACTGGCCCATTTTTTTTAAGTCCAGTTTTGTTTATAGAGACTTTATAATTATTTTTGTTGATTTGTTTGTTTATTTTAAGTATTCAAAATATTCTCCAGTTCCAGTGTTAAATGCTCATTGGTATTTTACGTTTTTTGAATGTGTTCTTGCATTATAATGCCATTATAATGGCATTATAATGGCATCTCAAGATAACCATCGTCTATCGTAGTAACTACTGGAGCAATTTGTTGTCCAGGAAAATTTGTTATTGTGACAGGCCTAATTGTGCATCCCTAGTCAGCAGCTTACGTTTCCTGACCACAAACTGCCTGAATATCAACAATTCATGAGGTTAAAAGCCCTTTCTTTGCATAAGCACAACTTTATTCACTCAGCATCTAAAAGAAGCCAGAAATACAGTAGAGACGTTTCTATTCTTAAAAATTGATCAAACAGGCTAACCAAGCCTGACTTTCAATGTGTTTATTAAGGCCACATTTGCACAGGATGTATGACATGAAAAAAGTCACATTTTCGACATATTTCTCTGAGCTAAATAAAGATAAGGCCTCACTGACCTTAAACAGCCATAAAGAAACCTCCATGGACGTCCTGTCATCACAAGGAACTCCACTTTTCAACAAAGCCTGAACATCAGACGTTACTTTGAGAGACCTTCAAGGTGACTCACGAATCTCACAAAATGTGTTATGGTTACTCGAGTGTTTTGTCGTTCGTTTGTGCCGTTAACGTCGGCAAGCAGCTGCCGTTAATAACACAGGAGAAGAACAATGATTTTTGTGCTGGTGAGGAGACAACACAGTCGGTGTGATGTGTGGATTTGGCAGCTTTAGCAAGAGCATGAAGTGCAGAGTCACTGCTGGTGTTGGCTTCAACCAGCTTCAGCTTCTAGTGCTTGTTAGCCTTTGCGAGTGCTTTGTGTTGAGGGGATAGGGGTGGTGTGCTCAAGGACTGCAGGGGGCTGCACTGTGTGCTGACAGCTGGCTTCTATAAATAAATGTCACAGGCAGGGGAGGAGGAGGACGGGTGGGTGGGACACAGCGGTGGATGGACAACGGGAACGAGGAAGAAATGAGGAGGGGAGGAGACGAATGAGTGGGACCGATGCAGATGCACTGGGAAACTTTAAAGAATGTGGTGGAGTGTCCTGTGCTGCACTTTGCTCGGGTCAGGACTTAATGGTCACTTAATACACGCCACCTGTGGCTGAGCCAATCAGCTGTCCAGGATGTGGTCATGTGACCCCTGACTCTGTACATGATCCTGGCTAATGAGTCTGTTGCCGTTACATTTTTATCTCACATCTGTCCAGCCCCAGTCAGCTTCCTTTCCCTTTTGTGCCTGGGATCTCTGGTGTGACTCACAGACTCCATCACTTAGCGAAAACAGCAGGAAAAACAGAGGCGTAACGAATAAACAAAGGAAGGCAGGGAATTAAAACGCAAGGTGAAGACGAAACTGGCTGCTCTGTTTCGAATCAGGCAAACTGGAAAAGCAGAAACCGAATAATGTCCCGACTCTAAGCAGGAGTAACGCTCTCTTCATGAATTTGTCATGCAGGCCATCACTGAGCCCAGTCCCATCAGGTTGAGTGGGCTGTATCACTGACACAGGCTACTTTCACTTTGCTGCCTCCAGTTACACTCTTTGGCTTTCTATAGCACTGTGTATGTGTGTGTAATTTTGTTTACAAGGGGGGAGGGGGAAGGGTTTGGTTTCCGGTCTTGGCACAGCTATCAAGCACTGAAAAACAGTCCATCTGAGTCCCTGCCACGCTCATATACCTGTTGTGTATCTGCTTCACCTCCTTTGTGTCTCGTTTACACTGTGTGATTACGTCCAAATGTTCCCGCAGTTTAGTTTCTTTAAATGGGTCACTTTATCTCCGAGGATTGTTACAACATAAAAGCTGCAGAAGTAAAAAAAAAAAAAAAAAAAAAAAAAAAAAGAGTGATGAGATAGGAAGACAGAGAGGAAGGCTTAGGATGAAGATGACAAATATTATCAAACTATGTTGGTGCTGCAAAACATTTCTTCGACTTCTGCTTTCTGCTGCATGCAGAAAAAAAATACAATAAGCAGACTTTCTGTGGCCAGGCTGTCACGTCGTGCTGCCTTTTTTTTTTGCACATGAGCAAACATGCAACACTAACAAACGTGAAACATTTCTAAAGATAACAAATGTGTAAATGTGATGCAGTCAAACACTTTGATACCGGAATCCTTTATTTTCTGACTTTTCTGAAAATATTTTCAAGTTAAGAGACACGAAGGAAGGCGAGACATTGCACTGCTGTTCACCCGGAAAACAGTTTAATCTCTTCTGCCATCATGTGTTGGGGTAGCGGCATCAAAGACAACAAATCCCAACCGGATAAAGAGTGGCTGTGACAGACTGGCGACCTGTCCAGGGTGTGCCCCGCCTCTCGCCCGGAGCGCAGCTGGAGATTGGCACCAGCAACTCCCGACCCCGTTAGGGAGAAGGGTAATCAGAAAATGGATGGATGGAGAGATGGAGGGAGGGAGAGTGCTGGTTCTGTTCTGGAGACTGCTTTGAACGACCCAGAAATAACGGTGCAAAGAAGGATTCTTCATGAAATCAAGAAAATTATGGGCGACCCCGTTATTGTATGAAACTCTTGTATAACAACAGAGTAATTTCAGTTGGAAGCTTTTTCAGATTTGCTGTAATACAGACTGCTACAGGAGATCCTTCCTGCCCACAGCCATCAGCATCTACAATAACTCTTAGAAGAAGCTTAATATGAGTTACAACATTTAATTTAATTTAGGGATTAGTAAAATACTTCTGAATTGAATTGAAAACTTGTCAGTTTTGATGTGCTGAGAAAATGTAACTGCTGACATTTGACATATTTTTAACTATATTTATTTAACTTGCACAACGTTGCCCAAACTGGTTGATGCTTGGTTGTGTTTCTCTTTGCTAAAGTGCACGTCTAGTTGTGGTTTGAAGAAATCTAGGCACTACTTCCCGGTTTAAAACCCCAGACTGAGCTGCACGAGCTGCGGAAAGGAACATAACTAAGCTGCTGGACTGCAGTTTTTATTTATTTATTTTTTACATCTGTGGTTAAACTCCATCACCCCACAACTACACTGTGTTCTCTTTGAGCATCTAAAAACGAACATTATTAGCTACTTGGTGTGCTTCGTCACATGGCAACTACAATTAGCCTAGGGACTGGCAGTGTTTCATTTATTCAAGCAGCTTAGCAGCAGCTGTTGGTTTAAGAGGAACTTTGACTTTTATAATGGGAATCCCAACCTTCACATCTTTTTGAATGGACCCTTAAAAAAAATCAAACTTCAGGACACAGAGAGAAGGAGCCAAAACTGCAGATCTTACTGAAGTTAATGCAGTCTAAGGCAGCGGTGCAGCAGTAAAGCATAGATTTATGAAGATGTGGATGAATAGGTTTTATTTGCTGAGGTGCTGATTCAGCTTTCTGAGGTTTGAAATTTATTTCAGTGAGCTGAGTCATGGATTTTCTTTTTTTTTTTTCTTTTAATCACGTTCATTTAAATCAGGATCGATCAAATTATGGTAACGCCTCTAAAGGTATGACGGGATTGAAATATTTATGGCCTGGTTTTGAACTTTCATCCGGCTGATTTTTCATTTACACATTTTTTTTTCCTACCTCATGAGAAAAGGAGTGTGATTTTTCTTCTGCCTGCCTATGAAGTAGTGTGACTTATCACTGATTTCTCCCCTGCAGCCTCTTGCACAGTGGTGCAGGCTGATGCCCAAAGATGCTGCCAAGATGCCAGAGAGTGCGTGGAAGCTGGTCTTCTACACCATGTCATGGTTCTACAGCACCTACCTGCTCTTCTTTTCCTCCTACTCCTTCTTCAACAACCCGCCCTCCGTCTTCTACAGTAAGACACAACCATGGAGACATTTTGTTGGTTACAGTCCATTTAGTCTGGGTCTGTGTGGGTTTTTTTCTTAGCATGAAAGTGGGTGAAAGTCAGGAAAGACCAGCCAGATTAATGGATAAATGCTGACCTGAGGATAAGTTTCTTTCCTAGATTTTCAGGGCAGAGAGAGAGTGAAGGTAAATGGTGTTCAAAGTGGTCTGAGGGCCATTTGTGGCTCTTGAAACAATGGTGTCAGAGACCACACAATGGTGATAATTTGGACATTTTTTTGTAATTGTTTTGTATTTAAAATGTTAAGTACAATGCAGAGAATTTTTCTTTTTTGTTTGTTTTTTGCTGCTAATTCTTAGTAAGGTGGGCCACAAATATTCAGCCATTTTTTACACACAGGAACACACACATCCGTTGAACACGGCTAAACACGGCAAAGGTTTTAAAATAAAATTCTCATTTTTGCTGGAAATGAACATTTAAGAGATCAAGAAAAAAGCTAAATAACTGGATTAAGGTAAATGTCATACTGTTTGCTTCACTAAAATATTAGTTGTTTAATTTATTGTCATGCAGGTAAAGGTTAAAATATTCACAGTTATATTATTTTTCTACTTTTAATTGGAGAAAAAATGCTAATTTTTGCCCCTGGGGCGACCCCTGGTGCAAAACGTTTGAAGACCCCTGGCTGCGGTTATTTTATCAGAAGGTAAAATAAGGCCCTATAGCTGCTCTATAGAGAAATATTCCCCTCAGTACTTATATGGGCAGATATATGTCTGTCTAGTCATATAGAGATTGAAAACTTGCACATTTTCTGAGCCTGGAGGAAACCTTTTTGCTTTTAAGTTATGACCTATTTTAATGCTTTAGAGTATGTCCATTAAGAACGGAATATGTTTATTTAACATATTTTACTACTATAGAACACATTAGGATTCATACAACATTTATAACGGGAGATCTTTATGATTGCACCCTAATGGAAACCAGAATCCTAACAGTTTTCAGTGTGTTGCTAATGGAAGACGGACGTGTTCCCAGGCTTGGCGTATATTCCACTCATGTCTTTGACTGTCCCTCGACCTCCTCCATCAGACACTGAGGTGTCGGCGCTCCTGGAGAGGACGAGCAGGAAGAGGCGAGAGGGGCTCACCAGCGCTATCTGACAGCATCGGCTTCGTCTTTGATCGCCACGTCACGGCTAATAGCCGTCAGTGTGTGATGTGTGCAGCCGGAGAGTAATAGGGCCTGACTTTTAGAGAGGGAGAGGAGGAATCAAGATGAGAGGGAAGCTGGAGAGAGGGATGATGAGAGAATCTGAAACACAGCTCCGTAATCGGCAAAACCTTTTCAAAAAGCACTCACATTGTTTCAGGCTACAACCACAAACTTTTGTCAATTTAAATTGAATTTAGGTCTGGACTTTGACTGGGCCGTTCTTGATTTAAACTAATCATCTGATTTATCTAATAGTGTTTTAATATTTATGCCCTCTTATCTGTGAAAGGTGCTGTATAAATTAAAAATAGTCTGTATAAAATGTAAAAATAAACTTCCGTTTCACACTTCTGAATTAGTTTTTAAAAGATTTGACTAATGAAAACTGTGACGGAAAATGTAAACAAACAAATAAATTGAGTGCTGTGAATACTTTTGCAGGGTTCTGCATATTTATAGAGAATAAAAAGTTGGAAAAATCAAAAGTTTTATGTAGGAAGAAACACCTCTGCTTCCCATTCCTCACTTTGGCAGCTTTTCTGCAGGGATCCATTTTTCAAGCCTCTTCTCAATGTTTAATGGTGGAAGCTTTGATCGATAAACATTACACGACGCCTGAATGAAACCCCATCCCCGTGGAGACAAACCACACTCAAACATTGGAGGAGAGAGTTTCCGTCCAACATCCGATAGGCTTCAGAGACTCGAGCCAGTCTCAGCCTGCATTCAGACGGGTTTTCATCAGAAACGTTCCCTAATGCTGCTGGACACCTGATCCTTCCTCCTTCTGTACAGCGCTAACCACCACCGCTTGTCCTCCAGGAGCTCTGCTGTATTTACCATGCCGTGCCTCTGAGCATGATCAGGACACCACAAACTGTCCACGCCTCGGAGACTCTTTTACATCCGGAGGACTTTGAAAGACGGAAACTTTTCCCGCTATATTTGTAACAAAGTTTAAGCGGAAACTAAAGTAAAGAGGGAATATTTATGTAGTTCTAATTTCAGGATTTTTACCCTGGACTTTCTTGTTGAAAGGCACCAGTGCTGCCAAATGCACCACCATGTGCATTGTGTTCATTATTTATTGCATTTTAGTTTAGATTATTAAGAATAAAAATAAAGAGGCATCAGCAATTTATGTACTTGGAGTCATGCAGCATGAAGATTGAACAATAATAATCAATCAATCAAAAAAAAAACAACAAAGATATATATTGTTACATTCAGTTAAAAGTAATTAAATTCCTATAAAAGACTACTAAATGTATGCAGATTTCTAGTGGTCCACATATGTTTTCCAAATCATTTAATTTGTTTTTACTAGTGTGCTTGTTATGCAGCATCATGAACTCTGGAAAGCATGTTTATGTACCTTTACTTTTTGATATCATGACAAAAAATCAGCATAAAGTGCATAACATTGAATATCTTTTTATTATAGGACACAATGTTTGCTCTGTGGTGAGGCATGCATTGGGTTGTGTCATCCTGCTGGCCCCCACAGGCAGAGAATTATTGATTGTATTTACAAATGATCGAAATAAACTATTAAAGATGGTTTGCGACCTGCTTTGTAAAACATTTTCTTGTGTGTCTTTGGCTGCTGCAGTCATCACAGCTTTTGTAGCCCAGCATCTTCCCCTGATCTCCTTCTGCTCCCTCAGACTGGAAGAGTGGTATGACAGTGCCTACAGACATCGCCATAGCCTACCTGATCCAGGGCAGCTTCTACGGCCACTCCATCTACGCCACCGTCAACATGGACACATGGAGGAAGGACTCTGCCGTCATGGTGGTGCATCACATCATCACCCTGGCTCTCATCAGCTTCTCCTACGCCTTCAGGTACTAAAAGACAACAGGGGAAAGGTGCGGAGAGCGTTGCGTCCGACCGTGTCCTGAAAGTGCGTCTCGCCTTGATTTCTCCCTCTCAGGTACCACAACGTGGGCATCCTGGTGTTGTTCCTGCACGACATCAACGATGTCCTGCTGGAGTTCACCAAGCTCAACGTCTACCTGAAGGCCAGAGGAGGCGGCTACCACCTGCTCAACGACGTTCTGTCCAACATGGGCTCCGTCAGCTTCAGCGTCACTTGGTAAGCTTGAAATCTTCAACTCGCTTTCTGATTTCTCCCCCTCCGCTGCTTGGCTGTCTCACTGAAATGATTTGGAGTTTTGACAGCTCTGTCATTAAGCTGTCTGGTGTCTTATTCATCCACAGAGTCCCTAAATATCTGCTGTCTGTTTTGTTCCCGCCTGGTTTTTCTCAGGTTCTGGTTCCGACTCTATTGGTTCCCTCTTAAAGTGCTGTACGCCACGTGTGTGTCCAGCGTCAAGTCTGTCCCCAACATCCCCTTCTACTTCTTCTTCAACACCCTGCTCTTCGCCCTGCTGCTCATGAATATCTACTGGTTCCTGGTGAGCGAGTTTGAAACCCGAGTTTTTAAGCTCCTCCAGTTCACACTCTCATTCTCACGGCTTTGCTTGGTGCTTTTCTGCTCTGCCCTCTGCAGTTTATTGTGATGTTCGTGGTGAAGCTGCTGAAGGTGAAGGAGGTGAACGACGTCAGGGAGTACGAAGACGAGGACGCCAGGAAGGCGGCGAAGGAGCGGCGAAAAGACGCAGAAATCAACGATGATGATGCTGGACATCACAACTCAACCAAGAGGTGAGCTGTGTTTATATTCAGCTGTTCATCTAAATATAAAACACAGTCGAGAAACTCTCAGGCATGAAGAAGCCTGAGAGTCCCTCGACTGTTTTTATCAAGCACAGAACATCGGCTGTCTGCTGATAACTACTTCATGGTAGTTTATCCATGAAGTGTCCACCATATGCATGGGCTTGAGTTGCTTATCAGAAAATGCAAAGCAGGTCTGATCCTGCGGATCTCCTGCCAAGTGGGCAGCCTCTTCTTGCCCACACCTGCCTGGCATTTAATTTAATGGAACACTGTTGGCACAAGCATCCATCTCTGCTCTGGCTGCAGACCAAAGGAACATTAAGGGGAAACTAAAATTTGCGATACACAATCTGCCTGCTAGTAAACGCAGCACCAAGATCAAACTTCAAGCTCAAAGTAATTAGGCATTGAATGAGGCTTTATATTATATTATATTATATTATATTATATTATATTATATTATATTATATTATATTATATTATATTATATTATATTGTGAGACTGAGGCAAGTTGTAACTTTTTCAGGGTGTTCAATTGAAAAATATATTCGAAAAACTGCCAAAGAAAATCTGGATTAAATTAGTGTCAATGTTAGACATCTGGTGGACTGAGTCCAGATTGTGTAACCTGTGACCTCTGAGGCTCTAATACCAAGTGTTGAATAGTCAAAACACAGAAAGGAGTAGTTTGAGTTTGTTTTTCTAATCAAAAATATGGAAATGACTTAAAGCTTTCTGTAGGCAAGCTTTGATCAGAGCGTCACTCTGTAGTTTCTAAAGCGACGTGTCACTAATGTGGTGGTGAGGCTTTTATAGTTTTTATTCTGCAGCTTTTGATACTTTATAGAAAACCGTGACACAAACACAGTGTCATAAGTATTACATTTTGCAATCGTGAGCTTTAAGCAACAAACTGCTGACAGAAACCAAAGTGTATCTGTTTTTATCTTTAACCTGGGTGCTGACAGCCACGTGCATCTCTATCAGAGCAGCCTTTGACCTCTGCAGACTTAAACACCCTGCAAAGCTGAAGTCACCCAGTCCATCTCACTGCTCAGGGCAGTTTCAGGAAAATCCTGAATAATGTATTGCGAGATAATATAACGGTTTGGTTTTGGCCTCCCTGTCCTCCTGGAGGCTGGTGCTGAACAAGCTAATCTTGCACAGCCGGGGGTCTGAAACAGCCCAAGACCATACTGAGATGTGATTGCGCCCTTATCTGAGCGGCCTTGAACACGTTCTGATATCCTCTGAACCAAATGCTGCACATCTGCTCATCAGCCCTCCTGCCATGTGCACTCCTTCTTATCCCGCACGCTGCTGTCTGTGTGTGCCTTTCCTCCGGCAGGAAGCACGTACAGAACGGAGTTACCAAGGACAAGCATCTATAACAGGCTCTCCGGTGCCCCCTCCTGGCTCTGGACTGCACCTGTAGGCCCTCCTGGACGGCAGACGTTCAAAACGTGACCGGACGGGAAAGAGCATCACAACCACAAAGCAAAAGAAAGAAACAAGAAGAAGAGAAGGGAAAGTTAGGGTACAATCAGTTTGTATTTTGTATTAGTTTTAGAACATTTTATTTTCAGTTTTATTTTATTAGAGCACTGTGAATGTCATTTCAGCTGACTTCCTGTCTTGCAGTTGTCGGATTAACATTTGATAGATCTAGTGGAAGTGGACCTTCTTGAGGGGGGGATGAGGATAGGCGCCAGTTCATATCTGTTCTCATGTCTACGAATAACTGTAGGAACCAAGGGAACAAGCAACAGCAGCATCAGGTTGGGCTTATTTGTTTAGTCGTTCTCCCCTCTCCACTTCTTTAACTTCCATCCATCCGCTCCGACTTATTGTATGAGAAGAAATGAGGGATTATCGCTGCTAATCCTTCATCTGCTTCCCAGTTTCCTACACTCATTCATGTAAACTGAGAGGCAGCGTTTGCATGTTTTAGGACGCCAAGATCCCGCAACTTTTAAAGTAACAGGAATAATTTATTTCATGAGACTTATGACCCACATGAACTTTGAATATTCCCTTGGATTATTCTCCAGAAAGTGCTCCTTTTCCTATTTTTGAGCCGTTTTGTCTCTCTATAGGCTATATAGCATCTGTTGCTGCACTGACATGAAGGCATACAAGCTCACTGCTGGTTTAATGACGGCAAACAGCTAGAATTGATTGACTAGGTCTTCATTGCAATTTGATTTGCTTATGGAAGAGATTTCTAATATTGTTAAATGATAGTCAATGTGTTCAGGCGACGGACGGTTGTGGAAAATCAAAAACACGATGTATGCACTCGCGCTACTATTCAGGAAGGCATGAAGTCAGAATGATTTTTGGAAATGTGACGTATGTTTAGCTATATCGCCAATAACTAAAACTGCTCCTAGAAGTGACTGAAATCCTAACACATAAGTCAGTATTTTAACACATTCTCCCAGCGGCACCTAAACGCGTCTTCTAGACAAATGTGGTCAAACTTATACACTGGAGAAAATAAGTGTTGTCAGTGTTCTCAGTAAATGTATTTTTAATGGTGTTGTTAGCATGTAATTCATATCAGATTTCAGTAACAGGCCCACTAATCCACACTTGGAGGAATAAACACATCTTACTATGCTAATTAGGTCATGTGTGATCAAGTGGAGTGACGCAAGACAAAAAAAAAAAAAAAGAGGTGTAAAAATGCTGAAACTTGTTAGTGTTTAGAAAATCTGTTGCTCCAGGTTCAGTCGTAATTTATGGCCTCTAAAAATGTTTCTCATTTACAAAGTGTTGAAAAGTCTTTGCAGTCTTTTTACTGCAAATTATACGGCTGACATTTGTTTTTAACAAGAGAGAATATCTCACCAGAACCTTGAGGATTTGAACTGAAAGAATGGATCGAAGACGCAGTTTCTCCATACAGGAGACTCTGAAGGCGTCCCACCAAAACAGATTTTGCTGTTTCCTATTTATAATCTGCGTCATTCCACGGATTTGATTTTATTGCCTGACATGTTATTACCGACATCTGGGCCGAGTCACCTTAAAAATATATGCGCCGTAATGACGCTGCTGCGTCCAATGCTTATTTTTCCAGCTGTATAAGATGCACATCTAGAAACCAGAAGTAATTAGAATTGAAACATTTTCAAAACTTGAACCGTCAATTGAAAACCAAAGACTAAGAGGAATCGTTTTCTGAGGTGCCTGCTGGTTTCATTGCATGCCTGTAGAAGAAAATAAGGAATGTTTCCACTTTGTCTACCTTCTCGATCAAATTCCAGCTCTTGTTTGGAGGAACAGCATGCTTGTGCTGCTTGAGCAGGCCGCAGATGTTGATAATTCGTCGGCGGGGGACGCGGGCGTCTGTTCTCTTACGTTTCTGTCTTCCATCGTCCTCAAACCAGTGTTTCAGGAAAATTGAAGCTTATCTTGAAATTTTACTTTAAATTATGATTATTGTTGCTGTAGTTAATTTGATGTTTGTATTTTTTGTTGTTGTTGTTGTTGAATTGCTGCTGTTTTTATCTCTGAGAGCACTGTTTGTATTCCAGATGGGGTTTTTTTTGTTGTTGTTTTGTTTTCTGCTGATGTCGGTGACCGTCATGTGATCAGGGGACCATCGCTCACCTCTTTCTGGACCAACATCTGGATTCGGCCTCTGACCCGTTCCTGTTGATCATTCTCCTCTTACTGTAGTACATCTGTGCTGTAAACAACACGGTCCGCCTGTCGCTCACCTTCCCTCTCAGCTCTGATACTCTAATCTGGTTCTCACTTAATGACAGCAGTAATCCCAGTGTGAGTCACAAACCTTGAAATCTGTGATCTGGATCGTCTCACTACATCAGAGCGCTGCGACCAGATGAGCAAACGACAAAACGTTCTCTAGAAGAGGCCACTACCTGTCTAGATGGTTTCTGTCATTACTGCATCTCAGGGTTTGCTGGCTTTTGTGGACATTTTTCATCAATGAGCTTTTTGAAAATCTTTACCCTAGTTGGAGGTTATGAGATGCTGACATTGGCAGCACCTGGTAAGTATTTGCAAAAAGCCTTAAAATAAGTGAATAATAAATTGTAATCACATATTTATTCAGATGGAGAGAAAATCCCATGTGTAGAAATAATTGTACCAGAAACTGTGGATCTAGATTTTTTTTTTTTTTTTTCCAGATCAGTCAGTGAACCACTGCCGTTTAACAACTTTTTAGTGAAAATCATCCATTTTAAAGATCTCATGTTGGACGCACTCTTACAGTCCGCTGGGCTTTTTACAAGAGAAATAGACTCAAAGCATCACAGACCTTCCACCGTGCTTTACAGTGGAAGTCAGAGGCTGTTTCACAATTTCACTTTGATTTAAACCAGACCAATATGGAGTTTTTCTGACCAGATGCAGTTTAGCAAACTGTAAGTTGTCACATTTATCCCCCAAAGAAAACTGCATAAAAAAATTCATTTAATTTATTTCTAAGAGAAACAGGAGGATTAATACGTCAGGCACCAGTGGCTTTGTTCAAAATAATTTTATTTTCCTCACCGAATATTTTCAGTGTGATATGTAATAAAATATTACATTATTTTAAGGCTTTTTTCGCATCTTTACAAGGGCTGCCAAGAACTGTGGCCTGCACAATAAATGATTTTTTAAAAATGCAGCCAAGAATTGAGATTCCCATGATCCGAGACAAAGAAAACAACTAAAAACAAGATGAGTCACGTGTGCAGCTCACGCTTACAGATTGAACATTTTGACGGTCTGAATTCGACACCTAATCTCAGACGAATAAAAGATAATCTGATTAATTGTAATGACAAACCAAATACATCTTTATGTCCACAGGAGATGTGGTGGATTTTCACATGTTTCTAAAACATCAGGATCGGACGGAAATGTTCAAATGCACTCAAACCAAACCACGCTGTGAATGACGTAGCATCTGCAGATCTAATCTCAGATCATAGCAGTGAACGCTGCATTAATATGATTTAAGAAGTGGCATTCTTTTGTTTTAAGTTCAGTTCTGCAGGGATAAGTTGGAAGGGAAAATCTTTTGTGAAGACGTGACGAGCTGAAATAATTTACCAATGATGAAATCAAGGCTCGGTCCAAATTTGGTCACCATTAAATATGAAATTTTGCACCGAAACTGTGATGTTGAGTGTGGAAATTGAGTCAGCTCCACCGGTGCTTCAATTGTGCCAATAATTGTCCATTGAAACGGTAAAGGGAAATATGGGAGATTGAAGCTGAGGAGCTGGTTGAACGTCAGGAGGCACAGAAGCCCGGTCGGCATTTCCTGCACATTGCACCATCACTTCTAGTTGTTTTTATCGCTTATTAGTAGATTAAAACAAAGAAAAGGGGAGCAATTGAGACTTTTTACCATGACTGAAGGATCATCGACTAAATCAGGCATTGAAATGCATTTTACTGATTTTTTTTTTTGGACCACTGTAAACTACAAAAATTAAGAAATGACTTCCCTCAACTTTTTCCCCCAGTCTGAATTCGACTACTTTTTGAAACACATAATCTGTATTTGCTCTTTTGTAATACAGTTTTAATGTCATTCAGCCAATGTTTCATTTTGTTCTCATGAAATAAACAATGTCGGTAAACAAAAAGACAAGTCCCATTTGTCCTTTATTTTATAAAAATCACAATTTTTTTATTGCAAAGATCCAAGTGACACGGATGACGTGAAACGGGCTGCAGAGGAAAGTTCATTTCAGTGCGCAGACAAGAACAGACCACTCCAATAAATTAAGATTTTATTTGCACCACAGTTTTTCCAATCTGTCGGTAAATAAGTTCTGCAATTGTTACGATGGGTCATGCAGTAACGCAAAAGAATACAAGAAAACAAAGCAGATAAACACCAAAAACACCATAGGGAGAACCACCTAGGACATTTCTGTCTCATTTATCTGGTTTATAACCATTTTTAAGAAGTCCAGTGTTTTAAATACCCCCCAGATCTGAAATAAAGGTCAAAAATCAAATCATTTTCTGCCGAGAAATGTGATTTGGGCATGCTCTGATACAAGAAAACATAATTTTTCCAATACCTGCCATCACATGATTGAACAACCTCTTTTAATCAAGGGTGGAAAATATTCAAGAACCAAAAATAAATCATGGAAAGTCACACAGCAACATGAAACAAAGTTTCAAAAAGAAAGAAACAAAGCAATTAATGGCGGAATAAAGAAGAAATGCACAAACAGTTTATTTGGGGGTAACTTGCACAAATCATTAGGTGGCAAGAAAAAAAAAAGCTCAAAAAACATCTTCACATTTCACAGATCGTCTTTCCTGTAAACAGTGTTTCTTAGGAGTTTTTTTTTTGCTTGTTTTCAAAGCGTTGATATTCACCTACTGAAATTTCTGAATGTGTTCTTGATTCATTTTGATCGTTCTTCTTGTTCAAATTCAGCTCCCTTTTCCAGCAGAACTAAGCTGTTAAAAATCCAGCGTTGAAATGAGAAGTGACTTGCTGCCCCGACCAAAACATAAAGCTTAAATTGGCACAAAAACTTTGAAGGCAATTTATTTCATGTTGGATATTACTGATTTGAGACATTAAAAGCTTAGTAATTGACCCCATCCGGGGAAATTTTGAAGCATAAAGAACAATAGTTATGCATTTTGCAGGACATTGAAAGAAACTAGGAAACTAGAAAAACATCTTTCCTTCGACGGGCCTGTGATCACAGAAGCTCCAGACTTGACTCAGTTTCTAGCTGCCTAATACAACACATCAGTCCGGCTCAAAGAGCGATGGGGAAATAAACAAGGATCAGCACAAAAAAAAAAACTTAACCAAACTGTTAACATCTCAAAACACGACTCCTGAATATTGAGGTCCATGAGACCAGGAAAAGGTTGGCAGCAAGACAGGATCTGACATCATAGTTTGTGCATCCGGGCGAAGGAAATGGAAGTGACGTTTCTGGTCCTGATCAGAACAGCAGTTCGGTCCAGCTTCTGCGTTCTTACTGGCTAGAGTGTCTGGATTTGAGGAAAGAGGTACAGTGAGGCCTTGAAAACGGGAAACCTCAGTGGACCTTGGCTTTGGGCTGAGTGATTCTCTGGACAACGCTGTAAAGGAGTCCAAAGTTCTGCGGAAAGAGAAAAGAGACACAATTAATCTCTGACTAACAGACGGCACATTGTGTGACTGTTCACACAGCAGAACGCAGACAATTCACAACCTACAAAAAACTTCTTCCCCTCCCTCTCACATTAAACACCAAGAAGTAAAATAGGCTATAAATAAAACTCCATTGCTATTTTGTTCTAGTTCCGATTCATGATGACCGATTTGTTATTTAATTAAATATTTAATAGTACGAAATAAAATTAATAACCGAAAACCTACATTTTGATAAGCAGCTCCAAAAGCAAAAGCTGAAATTTTCTTTTTTGACCTTCCACTCAACAGACGCTCCACATATTTCTCAATGGCGGTCCCGAAGGAGAGACAAGCGACTGCGACAGCACAGTGACTTACCTGGATAGCCAGATACATCATCCCTAAGTAGGCTGCAATGCAGAGAGCCAGCAGCAGGTCAAAAATAGCTGGCTTCACTCTGAGAGAAAAGGAGGAAAAGTGGCAAAGACTGAGAGAGGACCGTCAGCAGTTCTGGCATCTGAACGCAATTCATCTCAAAATGATCTCAACAGAACATCTATTATTAATAAACTAAAACTGTAGACCCTGTTACAATTAGCTGGAAGCTGCAGAGTTTTTGCAACTTTACAATAAGGTTGATCTGTTAAAACAACTTCGAAGTAGCATGAATCCTTCTTCTGCCGATACATTCATTCAATCGCATGGCGAAAGTGGAGGTTGGGAAAGCCGGGGGCCGATCTGCTGATAGAACCACCTGAGATGAACGCTGTGGCTTTAGACGAACCGACGCGTCTCAGAGGAGATGGTGCCGTACCTGTAAGCATTCATAGTCTGCTTCAGCTGATCGTAGAAAACAAACTCTGGATCCCTGAAAAGGAGAAAAGTGAAACTTTTACTTTAAGATCATATTCAGAGTAAACAGATCACCAACAGGTCTGACATTACGTTCCAGCAGCTTGAAGAAACCTGATTCCTCTTTCTACCGGCGCAATAAAGAAAGTGCTTCATTTACTTTGTGTGGTTTAATTTGGCTTCCATATATCAGATAAACATTTTTCAGGCTGACTTGTTGATCCTCCGTGTTAATTATACAACGAAAACTGTCAATTTGAATTCATGGTAGTGTGAAAAAGACAGGGCACAAAAACAAAGAATGGAAGGAAGAGTAAATGAAAGGACACATGAAAACAAGAAAGGAAAGGATGGAAGGACAGCAAAAAGAAAAGAAATAAGGATAAAAGAAGAAGAGACAGAAGGAAATAAAGACCTCAAGATGGAAAGAAGGGCATGAAGGAGTGAAAACAAAAGGATAAAAAGGGGGAAATGATAGAAAATGAGAAGGAAAAAAAAATCAGAAATGCTGAAAGGACAAAAGGATACAGCATTCGAAGAGATGCAGAGGAAAAAAGTACAACATTTACACAATCAAAAGTCTGGAAGCACAAATATTTTTCCAGACTCTGATTTTCTTTGTCCATCCTTCTCCACAACTGGAAACCAAAGTCAAATTCCAGACTGTTTAACTGACAGCGTCACCATTTCCATCTGTACTTCAGCCTCCCTCGCTCCACCGTCACCTTTTGTCAGCTTTGACGTAGTGCCTTTTGACGTCCTTCAGGTAACGGCTGAGGTGGTACTCCAGCGTGGAGACGATGCTGCTGTCTTTGTCCACCAGCTGAGCGGCTCGCGGCTGCGCTGTAAGCCAGTCCACCACGGCGGACAGGTGTTCCTCCTGCACCTGCTGATGTGGGACAGCAAGCGCATCAGAACGGGAAAGACGACAGCTGGACAGAGTCCATTCAGTGTCTCAAAATATACTCAGAGGGTCAAACTTCCAGTCGACTCTGTAGCTACACACCATCTGTTCTGTGAAAATCTGGAGATCTCCAGAAGCTCCCTTTGCAGAAGAGAAACGGACAGAAAGCATTACATGCAGAAAATAAGCAGAACCAATCAGAATGGAATTATTCACTGTCGATTTTTTACCTTTTCTGTGAGATTGTAGATGACCCTGGCCAGAGCCTCTGCTACCACCTGGGCGTTCCTGCTGAGCTTGCTGACATCTACATGAGGCCTGTAAGCAGAAACAGCTTTTTAAAGCAGAGGAGCGCGAAATGCTGTCCAAACAGACAGAGACTCAGCCAACTTAGAATAAAAGAAACTGATGTGTCCATCGAGGGCCAACAGGGCCACAATTCACTCAGTTGTTTCTGATTGAAGCTGAAAAATAAGTCAAATTGTACTGATCAGAATCAAAAAGGCCTGCAACATTTGGTAAGTTGTTATTTTTTAAGCAAATTATATATTTGGTCAAATGGATGGTCGTTGGTACACACACCCGATCCACATTTTTGCAGCTTTTGGTGGCTGAGAGGTTCAAAGTCAAGAAGAGTGATAGAAAAATGGTTGTGGTGGAAAGGACAAAATCAATGAAAGTAAAAAAAAAATACTTTTAAGGGTTGAAACACTGAGCCAGCAGACTGAGCAGCTCACAAATGAAGGAACTGGATATTTCTGCCAAATAACAGTAATAAACTTTCTTATTTGGCAGGATTTCTTGTTTTAAATGTGTGCCTTAAAATGCCGGAAGGAAGAAAAGACCCTTTAGCAGTTTATTATGATTGTTACTGCACAAAATATTAAAAAGTACCCTTCCTTCAACAAATTAAAAATATCCCCCCAGAAATGTACAAATTCGGATCAATCAGACCTGTTTTGCTGCAACAAAGATGAAACGTCATTTTAAAGCGCCAAACAGACGATGGAAGAAAGTCCGAAAACTGGGAGCTGCAACGCAAGACTCTTTCTTTAAGGGAATTCATGTAACTTGCAGTAATGGACCCACCCAGCAGGGGGCTCTCCCGCTCCATGGCGAGAGGAGGGGGACACTGACCGCACGTCCATGATGCTGGAGCGCTGAGCCGAGCGGTGCGAGGGCAGATGGGACAGAGTGAAGGCCGGCAGCCGGCGGATCCCGAAGCGCTCGTGCTCCCAGGCCAGCATGTCGTCAGCCAGGTTGATTTTCTTGTGAACCATGGAGAACTTTACTTCAGGGTGCTGACTTGCCACCACCTGGGAGATGAGAAGAAAACAGAAATGCAAACTGAAACCAAACATAAAATATAAGCAGCACAGGAAGCTGCTTATATTTTATCACAATTTTTTTTTTTTTAGATGGTAAATGGCGGTTATTCTGACAAGACTGGTGCATGATGGGTACGTGAACTCTTACAGTCTCCAGTTCTTTGAGCAGAGAGTACTGAGGGGTTCCCTCTTTCGGAGGTTTGGACACATGAAGGTAGAGCGAGTCGCCGTTCCCCAGAGTGTCCAGACACAACACAAACGCTACATTGTC